GACGAACGGCTAAATGCCAACAGTGCTAAACGTGTCATACGTAAAGTTATGGTAATTGATCCAAAAAAGTTACAGCAGGCTGGTTTAGATCGAAAGTTAGCAGAAGCCATCGGTAGGCAAAAGCTTAAGGCGTTGGCTCAGGAAAAGAAGAATAGTGAACAAAATGCTGAACCAATAAAATTGTTAACACATAAACCTCAAGAAGATACAAAATCACTCCTTGTGCGACCTTCAGCAGCAGCAACAGTAAAAACATATACAAAATCAATTAATTCTACGTTCTTAACAACGCCTGCAACGCATACAGTACCAGCCACAATAGAACCCCTTCCCACAATCAAGAAATCAAAATCAGTTAAAAATGAATCGCTAAAATCACCAGCAACTGAAATAACAACTACAATGACCAATGCAACCTTTAGCAGTACCGCTCAAAATCAAGTTGGTAAGTCGCGGCTAAAATTTAAAAAAAATATATATATATATATATATATATGTATATACAATGTAGAACATGTTGAGAGTATATCTTTCGTCCAGGTAGTCGGGTCATAAATATTTTTACTTAAAAGATTTGATATATTGAACATTTTGCTCACGGTGTGCCCGAGGCGTACGTGGTTGAGGTGTTACGTGTTAACACTCGGAAGTTTTCGGTCGCGAGTTCGAGCCGTGGTCGTCGGCTTGGTGAAAAGCTTTCCGTGTTTTTATCACAATAATTTCACATTTTCTTTTTTAATATATTTTTTATGCTACCGGTTTTTCGTTCACAAAAATTAAAAATGCATTATGTGTATTTCAATTCCGGCGGTCAGGTGCGGATAGAAAAAACATGTGTATATGTGCATAAGTATGTATGTGTATGTGAATGAAATTTACTTATTTTTAGCGCTTGCGTTATTTATAGAATTTGTTTACACCATTTTCGGTATGTATGCTTTTACAGACTTTTGTAAATATTGAACACTTAGAAAGCTATCTTTTATTAAATTGAAACTGTTTTTAAATCTCCTCCTCGAATCTTTTTTCTTACAATTTATCCATAGGAAGGGTTTAGATGCTGAATTACGTATTTATTTATTTTAATAAGTATCTAAGGCTAAAAAAACTTATTTACAAACCCTAAAAATTCTAATTAGTAAAACACGATTAATCGGGAAATTCCCGAAAAACTAAACTAGAACAATTCTGAAAAAATTATATCTATAACCAAAAGATCGTAAATAAGAAACACGAAAAATCTCAAAATGTTATAGAAAAATTCCGGAAAAATGAAAGACGAAAAATCCGACAAGGCCCAAACAAAAAAAATCATGATAACATCCCAAAAAGTCCGTAAAAGTCAAACCCGAAAGACCCGACAAAATCTTGAGCGGTCCCGAGCAAATTCTGAAGTACCTACTCGAAAAATAAAACAAGTAAAAGAGGCATTTATTGCTTAAAATAATAAACATAAGTTTTTCTTATACACCTTGAGGGAATCTTGTGCTCCAATGGAAGACGATTTTAACAGAATCTTTTAAAAAATAATGCAATATATTTAGTTTTATTATTTAAAAATCTGGAAATAGCTTTTTAGAAAACGTACAAGTTTGTGCTTTTTACATGGTTGTCTCATTATATTGTTAACCCCTTTTAAAAATCGTTGCTTGATATGAGGCATTTGCCGCGAAACCGAGCCACGGTTCAATAGCTTAAGAAAGAGATGTGCGGCTGATAAAGGATGAAATAGTTAGAAAGTGTTCAGGGTTCGAATCCTGGCGACCGTAGTTGAACTTTAGAAAAAAATAATTATTATTATTTATTATTTTACTATATTACTTAACCTTAATTTTATTTTTATTTTTTGTGTTAAAGTTGATAAGGAAATGGGAAATGAATGTAAAAAATTTACGCTTGTATGTACATATGTATGTATGTACAGGGTCATTCCAAGAGGAAAACGACATAAATTAAAATGTGCCCCAATTATCTCTATTTCAGTAGTAACCTCTTTTTGAATGACTACATTTCATTAACCTGTGGGAAAATATTAAAAAAATCAAAAGAAGTTTTAATTTTTGTCTATGGAAACTTTTATTTCCTGCATAATAGCTTTACACTAGTCCCAGGAGATGTCCCACCAGTCACAACTTTAAATATTTTTTAATATTTCTATGTAGATTATATAAACCTCATTTTTATTGAAAACGAAAGCGTATAATTCATGTTTTACAGCACAAATACATCGTTCGTGAAAAGTAAGTGTTTTGGCTAAAATTCATCTTTGAGTGCACAAGGGTAAAGTAGAGTTATTTTCAGTGTCCCACCAGTCACATTCATTCAAATGATAGTTACATAAAACTAAGAAATTGTTTGTTATTTTTGTTAAAGCAGTTTTATACGTTAGTTATTATTCTATGTTAAAAATTATCTTTCGCTTTTGTATAAGCTCCGACGACATAGTTAAAATTCACAATTGATCCCATTCTGGAGTAAAATGTCCCACTAGTCACAATGGAACGGCCCTACATACATATGTACATATCTGAGCTGTGTAACTATGAAATCATTTACATTTTTAAATCGTGAAATATTTAAAAGTAAGATTTCATTACTTTTCTCTTGTTCGGTAAGTGGGGGTTGTATTTTTGCAATCTACAATTACACAGGCCGACAATTCAAATCTGGCCACAGAATTGCTCTATCACATCAGGATTTTTAGATATTATAACGTGTGCCAAGTTAGCATTACACTTTTCGAAATTGGAAAAGTTAACTACTTATGGCATTAATTGTAGTGTTTTTGTTGTAAATTTGTTGAGGAAAGAAAACATTTGTAGCTTTAATTTTTTAAGAAAAAATGGTATGTAGTGCTAACTTGACTCCATACACCTAGTCGATAGAATTGAGATATCCAATACGTTACTATGCCATTAATTGTAGCTTTTGAATTTAATAACAAATTTTTTAACAAAAAATTGTAGCTTTCGTTTCGACACTATATATCATTTTTTCCTAAAATACGAAAGCTAAAATTTTTTTCTCTCCACAACAAATTTACAACAAAAAGGCTACAATTACTTAATTCCGTTGCAACCTTTTCAATATCTCAATTTTGTCGGCAATGGTGTATGGTGTCAAGTTTGAACTATATACTAAATTTTGTTCGAAAAAGGGTCAACTCAATTTTTTCCAGAAAAACGAAAGCCACAAATTTTTTCTTTTCACAACAAATTTTAAAGTTAAAAGCTACAATTGATGGCATAGTAACATATTGGATATCTCAATTCTATCGACTAGGTGTATGGTGTCAAGTTAGCACTACTTACATACCATTTTTTCTTAAAAAATGGGAGCTAGAAATTTTTTCTTTCCACAACAAATTTACAACAAAAACACTACAGTTAATGCCGTAGTTAACTTTTCCCTTTTCGAAAAGTGTAGTGCTAACTTGACACACGAACGTTTATTTCCTAAAGATATCCAATTGCAAATTTTGGTCCTGTTCAAATTAAGCAATTCAATCGCTTGTTTAACAATCACACATTCTGCAAGGAATCTTTGGCGAAAATAAATATTTTAATGAATGCTGGTTGTGAAATTTGCATCACAATTGCAAGTAATAATCACATAATTTTCAATTGTACCAAATACATCAGTTTGTGAATTAAATAATTCTTCACTCTTAAGATCTGACACTTCTGTAGAAGAATTATACAGTACCCACAAGACTCAAAGAATCATTGCAATTATTTATTAACTTTTTGAAGGAAGTTGGTGTTCATCTTTAATTTTTCATCTGTTTTTGTAATGGCTTTATTACTTGTTAATCATAATAATAATAATGGATTGGCGCTTACGCGTATGCTAGTGTTTGGCCGAGCGTCTTCTCCGATTTGTTGCGTGCGCCTTGATGTTGACACACAAAGTGGGGGACCTACAGTTTTACGCCGGCTCCGAACGGCGATTGTATTTTTATGAGAAGCTGTTTTTCATGGCAGAAATACACTCGGAGGTTTGCCATTGTCTGCCGGGGGGCGACTGCTGTTAAGAAAAAACCTTTTTTCTAAACTTTTTTTGCGATGTTGCTTTGACCAGGGCTTGAACCCAGGCCCTGCGGAGTGGAAGCGCGCACTGCTTACCACTACCCCAAAATAATTCTCCGACCTTGTCTAAGTTAAGGAGTAACTAAAAAAAAAAAAAATGTTGACTATATTGTTGAATTTAATAAATATATTAATTTAATAACCCTTCCCTAAACATTTTGACTCAATAAAAAATTACGTTTTGCAGTTACCAAATCGCCTGCAGCCGAAAGAAAAGATTTTGTTACACCAAAAATAACTATAACTCGCCCTGGCGAAGAAATAACGCCACTTCGGATAGTTCCCGAACATCGTTTAGAGAATGTGAAATATATACTGCAGTGTAGGATTTTGAAAAAACAGCAGTTGGCAGCGCAAGCGACCCAAGCTGTTCAACAAACAATCGCAACGACACCCTCAACGGATTGCTTGTCAAACAATCAATTGCCGCTGTTGGAACCAAAAGTCGAAATCGATGAATTTCCAAGCACTTCCACAGCAGTCCTACTTAAAAAACCTTCTCCCGCCAAAACTCCACAGGACATTGCACGTGTACTTGACTTTAGTTCTGAGGCGACTACGGTCAGCTCGGCGTCTGTTACAGCCACGGCTGCAATTGAAAATAAAGTCGAGAAAACAGAGACCACAAGCCCATTACATATAAAGAACTATGGCGTCTATGTACCCAAAGCATCACCAATAAAGGCGGAATCAGAGGGTAGGCGTGCTGTTGACATCGCGCGTTTGGTTGCTCGCAACAGTACCGCAACAATGCGAAACGATCTGGAACAGCCAGTTTATGAAGCTGTGAAGTCTATTGATATACCAAAAGCCAGTATAAGATGTAAAAATTTATTAATCGAACCAAAAGCTACACAAGGAAGTAACGCTCAGTGCTCTAAAAAGAATGTGATTGACACGCAAAGGCTCCAAAAAGCAGGCCCAGCTTCTATCTCCAAAAATGCTGTTCCAAGAAAACTCGTTAAACTTGTCTATACAAATCCGCGGAATCAGCAAACTAATAATCCAAACGATGCCTGCTCCACCGTGAATCCGAATGCTCAGCAACAAACCTCATTTGTACAACTGAAGGATCTTGCGGGTTTTGCTCATTTAAAGCAACCATTTCCTGAAGATTTGTCTTTACCACCTAATACTAAAATGAAACTCATCTACAAAAAACAGCCGGTTGCAGATGAACTCACTAAAAGTTTTTCCACGGAGCCAAAAGAAAACAATAAAAATGCCAATGTGGAGACCAATACTCAGCCAAACAACGAACCTTCACAATTTAAGGACTTTCCTGCTTACTCTCCACTAAAGACACCATTTCCAGTTGTTACACACTCGCAAGATTTGCCATTGCCAAAGATCTCAACATTCCGAACTCCTTTCCCAACAACCTTGATCAAGGTCGGTCAAATGGGACAGCCGCAGAGCGGAGGCATGATGTCACTCACGACACAACACGCCATTAAACCTGGTGAAGAAGATTTGCGACCCTCTCAATCTGCAAAAAGTTTGATTGTGCTCGAGAATAAAGTATTGGCGCCGGATGAAAAGATAGATTTGACGGCACTAGGATTGGAAACGCCCAAAATGGAACCAACGTCGGGTTTACATGCACTAGAAAAGCAAGAAAAACCAGCGCCATCTCATAATGTACAAGAAAATATTAAAGTTAGCCAGCCGCCGATTGCGTCAACCTCAGCGGTATCTATGAAAAATCTGCCGCCGGAAGGTGCAAAACTTAATAATCGCAAAATTTTGTCAATAGATAAACTCCATTTTTCAGCGGAGAAGGTAGCTGAGCTAGTCAAAATCATAAAAGCGCAAAATCTAAATTCAAAAAAGGTTTTACTTGTACGAAACCTCGAAAATAAGCCACAGACAAGTATGAAATCTAAAGGTTTAAGAATAATCAAACTCCAAACAAATTCAGTGGCTGAAAACATAACACAACCTGTAACAACCATGCCGAATGAAACACTCAGCCTGCCTTATAGACTCACTTCTATTCAAAGTCAAAACATTCGAGCTGCATCAGTAGCGAAAGCAACCACCGTACCTCTACCGATTGAAAATCCTGGGGCTAACACTTCTCTAACTCAAATCGAAAATAATTACGTAAACAAAATACTAACAGCCGATTCAGTATTACCCGTATTAAAATCTGAACCATTGACAGACCCAGAATCGCAATCTGACTCGGAAACCCAATTCAAAAATCCTTTGCCTCTAGTTTCGCAGAAGTCTTACGCTACGGATCAATTTGGACGCATCAAATCCTCTGGCTCTGTGATTGACAGTGGCGACGAATCGGATGCGTCCATTTCTGCCGTGGATTTCATTGCTTCGCTGGCAGCTGAGCATCCCATTACTGAAGATACGCAATTGGAACTCTCACCGGAAGAGCTGAATTTGAATGCGTCATTCGCAATGAATTTCTCACCTTTGCGTATACCGAACAGGGATAGAACTGTGAGCATAAAAAGCGAAATTATTGAGCAAGATGCTTATGAGTTCAACGAGCCAAATGCTGATGTTTCAGCTAAGATATTTAACCCTGAAACGATGCCTGAAGACGTACAGATCGGCAAGATTATCACGATCAGTGAAGAAAACATTCTTAAAGCAGTAGCTGCTTCGCAAACTAGTGGCAACGCCGAAACGCAAGAGATCTTCAAACTCACCAAAAGCACTGAATACCTGGACGCGAATAAAGAGGAAGTGAACGTAGCGGAAAACTTAGACAACTTGGATGTCGTCCACACTGACAACTTGGCTGAATCGAAAGTGGGACCTATATTAGTGAAAAATATAGAAATTGGCGTCATAAACAACTTTGAAAACCAGCAAACGAGTCCATTGATTGTGAAAAATATTGAAACAGACCGATCATCCTGTTCCGGCCAACTGAGTACAAATGAAGGAATTGTTGCTTTGGAGACATTCAAAGTTTTGCCCGTAGTCAGTGAAGCATCGGCTCAAAGTATAATCATTGCAAACAAAAGCAACTCAACAGATCAACAAGAGTCGACGCAAATTAGTAACACAGAAAATACCGCACCAAAAATGGATCAAGTGGATCATTTAAAACCTAGTGCCCCATTCAACGCTGACGAGAATACGGATTCAAACGAAAAGGTGTTAGAAATTTCTAGCGCAGCACCAAAACGTTTACCACGCTTAAAGAAGGGCAAAATTAATTTAGTTCAACGTAAGAAGACAGCCGCAGTATCACAGGAAACAAAGGCGGTATCCAAAAAGGCATCCGAAATTGTCGCAAATTCCGAGGACCAAGTGGAGGTTGAACACAACAAGGACGGCCAAGTAACTGTGCTAGAAGAAGGTAATAAAAATATTGAAAATGATTTAAAGGCCACCAAAGCCAAGCTCAAAGTTGACGATGTGAAACGGAAAGGGTTCTCCGAGTCGTCGCCATCAAAAGTAGAAGAAAACTCTGCTGCGCTCATAGAACCAATGGGAGATATTGAAGATAACGATAACAATTTATCTGATTACGCAGACGAGCAGTGGACCTGCGAAGCGTCGCCACTAAACGAGTGTGTCTCACCAACTACCCATTCGAATGAATGGTTACCAAAATCAAGCAACTTGAAACATAAAACCGCATATATATCCGAGCTTTTAAATCCGCCTAAAATGCCTAAACGAAGATCTGCTGGTGCAGATGACAAACCTGCAGCTTCGTCTATTGTTTCGACTCCATCAGGCATGAAAAATCTACTGCTGACCGCAGTTAAAGCAACTACCGAAGACAAAGAGCTCACACCGGCCAAAAATCCTTTTAAAAAGGCAAAGGTAGAGGTTGATATTAGCGAGAAACCTATGAAGGGCATACATAATCTTTTGACGAAATTCAGTAAAGATAAGAATGTGGTCGAGCAGCGAGAAAGCACAGATCAGATTATTAGTGAAAGCAAATCGAAGATAAGGGAAGCAAACGTTTCAGTGAAGGCTGCAGATGCTGGCAAATCACCTCAAAAACAGTGGGATGTAGTGCCTGCGGCCAAAAATCAATTAAAGACGGTGGTGAAAAATAAGGAAGAGTTAAAGCATAATGAAAAACCAGATTCCGGACAAGAACTACAAGAAGACGTTGTGAAAAAATCAGGGGAAATTGTTGAGAACAAGACTGAGGGTTTAAGCTGTTCACTGAAACAGGCGACACAATCGGACTCAAAAGTTGTGGCAGATTCCAAGCAGAAACGTGAAACAACAAATCTAAATGTCTCGTTCGACAGCGGAAAAGACGAGACAATCAAAGTTAGTGTAGCATCTAACGACTGTGATAGTAGGAATGTGATAGCAAATGAGCAGTTAGAGGTAAAAATTTCTGAAGATAATGAGAACGGAGCTGAACAACCAAAATCTGGTTTCCTCGGATTTGACCATACCTCACCAAGTACGCATAACATTGAAAGCAATCTGCAACATATTCTCACGATTACCAATAGTGCTGAGCAAACGAAAACTCGCGATGAAAATTTCAGCACTGCAGAGCGTGAGAGTCCACACGCTATAAAAAGCGCAAAGAAGGGTAGGTTAACTTCTGGCAAGGCGACGCCTAGCGGAACCAAGTTTAGGCAGGCCCGAAAATCAAGAAATCGACGCAGCGTACCGCTAAAGAAACGTTGGGGAGTTATGAGCGAATCCGACGATGATATTGATATTACCGATGATACAACGCCGGCTGACGATGAGGAGGATACTGACGAGATGACGACCCCAGCAGGTTTTCGAAGCCAAATCAAATCTAAAGGACCGAGAAGCTCTCAAATTGGAAATGGGTTGCAAAGTGATACAGATGAATGTGAAATATACGGATTTACGTTTTTGAAACCCAAGGGAAAACAAGTCGTCGTAAATGAATTAAAAGAGGAAAACGGAGGGAAAATTGTGAATATCGCTGAAAGTAAAAACACCAGTGAGCAAGGAGCAGGCTTAACCACGAATAAAAAGCGAACCAGAGTCGTTACGATTTCCGAAAGTACTAGCTCAAGCGATTTAGAAACACCACACAAAAGGATACGAATAGATGCAGAGTCGAATACTTCCCTACCCCTAACCCCTACAAAAGATGCAAAGCTGGCAGATTCGCCTAAGAAACCAGATGCAATCATTTTAGAAAAAAGCGAAGCCGCTGAACCAACGAATACATCTTCTGAGTCCGAAACGAATGCCAGATCGCATTCATTGGAGCTCGAAGTCCCACCAACTGTTAAAACTTGCAGGCCGGGTAGTCGTACCTCGGTAGATGACGCAGAAAATACACAAGACCCCACTAAAAAGCCCAAAGCTAAGCGAGTACGCACACCCAAAGTTACAATCGAGTTGAATGATTCAGCTGAAATACAATTGAAAGCATCAGATGCTCATGTTGATCAGAATGAAAATGAAGGTGGAAACATCTCGGCCATAAATGAAACAGAAAATGACAGTCATCAAACAGTGAGTGCGAAAGAAATAGGCAACGACAATTCGAACGCGCGAGAAAATCGTACAAAGAAGCTTGAAGCAAAGGAAACTAAAATCGATACTGATCAGCCTAAAGCTGTGAAAAAACGTGGGAGAAAGCCAAAAGTAGTCATCATCGATGCCCCACAATCGGGCACCACTAGTCCGAGTAAGGAAATTAAATCAAATGAAATGAAAAAGGCTCCTGGGGGTCATTCAAAAGGATATGAATTGAGTACATCCATTGTGGCAGTCAAGGAGGAATTCGTCAGTGCTGACGCTGAGCTTGTTGTGCCATCGTTAACCGAATTGGAAGCTTTTCAAGAAGGGCTGAGGAACAGCGATGACTCCACGCCCAGCAAAAGCGTAAAAACCGCGTCTGAGTTCGCAACCTCAACGGCTACGGTGGTCACTGAGTCGACAGCAGACAACACTAAGCAAGCGGGGAAAAAGAGCAAGTCTCTGGGAGAAATAGTTGTGAGTTTAGCCAAAAACCAAGCGGAGAAAGGGGACACAAAAAGGGATGAGAGTACGCCAATAGTGCGTAAGAAGCGCGGACGCAAACCAAAGTCACTTAATGCCACTCTGCCCAGTACAACTGAGTCCACGGCGTGTAATAGTATTGCGGAGTTGAAGAATACAAGCGTGTTAAATGACACGCAGTCACAGTTGAGCATAAATTCAGCTGCAGCTGTTGATTCGTCGGCAAATTTGAGCCAATCGGCTGCCGACTTCGAAACGCCTATAAAAGTTCCGAAAAAACGGGGACGCAAACCAAAAGTCATTACGGCCGCAGCTGAGGCGTTAACTGGCGAAGAGGCTGCAAAGCCCGTGCCTAGAAAAGCAAGGGGAGTAGTAGATCTTGAGACGCGCGGCACCTTCAATGAGCGACTATTGTTGATCACAAATCGTGAACAACTCGAGTCAGATGAAGTGCTCACTGCCGAGCCGGTGGCGAGTACATCAAAAACAAAGAACATAGCTTGTGGACTCTGTTTACAGCAAATGGATCGTGACGCTTGGTTGGATCATTTGGCGACACATTATGGTGTCGGTTGGATAGTGGGCGAAACGACACCAACTGTGAGTGCAGAGGAGTGAGAATATCTCACCGATAAGTTTCGAACAAATTTTCTAAATTCTTTTGTGTGTTTTCAGAATGTGACTATACGCAATGAAGTGCTAAAGGCAATGACAGCCTTCCTGAAAACCAACGGCGGTAAATACACACTGACTTGTCGTATGTGCCACCGCACTTTTCGTTCGGCTTTGGGTGCCTTGCTGCACATCGAACTATGTGGCGCAACGGATTCGCGTGTACCATGCGATTACTGTAAGCGGCAGTACTCGAAACTAAGCCTACTGGTTCATATGCGGGAATGCAGAGTACGTTTTATGAATACAACTGAAGAAGGGGGTACAGGTGGAGCAGACGCGACGGATGTAAAGGAAGAAGTTTTCAATAATTTTGGCCGGAAGAAACGCGCATCGGTGCAAAAGTAAGAATGACATTTAATTTCGACATTAGGTGCATGCCTTTTTATACCTTTCATGAGCGTAAAATGGTATTACAAATCTGGTTTGTAAGGCCCAGAATAAGAAGAGATAGAATCACGACAATGTATACTTATGTATATGATCAGAAAGTCGAGCTGAGCCGATTTAAAAATGCCCGTATGTTTGTATGCGATCTGGTCCCTCAGTTTTCGAGATATCGGACTGAAATTTTGCAGGTGAAAATGACAAAGATCGGGTCACTGTAACATATAACGCCCATACAACTGATTGTTCAGGTGTGAGATTTTTCGTTATAGCTCCTCCATTTATGCAGCTAGGAAAATCACTTAGATTGGTCCTTCATAAGGTATATCTTCCATACGTCTGATTGTTAACATATGATTTTTTTTATATATGTAACTCTGTCTATGTATGATGTGAATATTCATGAAAGGTATTAAGGCTTCGGCATAGCCGAAGACAGCACTGCTTGTTTAATATAAAAAAAACACACACTTTTTAAATGTAAGTTCCCTCTGATTAAACAAAATAACTAACTAATAAACTAAAACCTTATATTCCTTGCACTTGAAAAAAAGAGCAGAAAAAATCTTGAAAGCCATAGGCATTGATGCTCGCGGCGCTGGGATATCCACCGTGAAAGATGCTAAAAACGTTAGTAGCCACTTTTGTTCTAAATATGGAATGTATTATCTTCTAACATCCATATCTCAACTACTCACAGTATATTCAGCTTGTTCCTGCGCAGCCTGATCAGATTGAAAGAAAATGGTCAAGTGACTTAGAGTCGACAGGCAAAGCCCATTGCCCCACACCGGATTGCACTTTCGAGACACAAGAACTAACCGCACTTCAAACGCACTACGAGTGCTGTGAACTCAAGAAGGTATCCAATGTGCAGGGATTTTATATTTGTCGACTTTGTGCGAGTTTCACCAAAACATACAACAGCGCTAAGGACGCCATTAAGCATGTTTTGCAAGAACATAGAAATGCAGAAGATGCGCCAGATTTCGAGGGAGACGTTTCGGATTGTGGCATTAAAACGGATGACGAATCGAGCGGTGCTGATGATGACATATCGTCGGGTGTCGACTCGAATGAAGAAAGTGGGAGTGGTACTAGTAATATAAGTTTTATTGAAGATCCAAAAGCACGAAAAAATGCGCGGAGGAGGAGATCGCGAAAGAAGAAATCAGCAAATACGACAAATACGATCGATAGACGTGAGTAATAGCGGAATTTCAAAATATAAATAATTGTAAAAGTAAGTCAATAACTTTATTTTCATTTAGAAATTACCCCACGTGATCTTGATTATAGTAACACCGCAGTAAAATTATGGAATGAATTGTAAGTGAAAATAAAAATTGCATTCTGTTGGTTGTTACATTCATTTGTTTTAAATTTTACTTAGCACAACGGAACATTATAGCACACAACCACTGTTTAACGACTTCAAAGTCAACTATAGCATTTGCGCACGCGCAGATTACGAACAATATTTTCCGCGTACAGAATGTTCTATGAAATTTAGTCTGAATTCAAAATTTGAGCTCACCAAAATCGATGTTGAAACGCAATTTGGCAAAGCCGAGAACGCGAATTGGTCACAACTACAACGCTTCGAGATGAGCTCGGCCAAGGGTACGTTATCTCTTATTGTAGTATGTATGTATATCAATCAACTTACTTATATCCTTACATCTTCTTAGATGAGCACTTCATTTTCATTGGCGAAGCTATCAAAATTGTCAGCTGGGTGCCGCTGCCTGCGGACATACACGAACAATACCTACTTATTAGCTCACGCCGTGAATATACTCGCTACAAGAATCCAAAAATCGGTAATACATTACTTTGGTTGTACAAAATCACACCCGCTAATGGTCTAGAGCCACTGCGTATGCAGCTTCACTACGCTATTAATATACCTGATGGACCCGTACATTGCACGGCATTTTTACCCAGCGGCGGCTATGATGCGAGCGCAAATCGACTAGGATTGGTGGCTGTTGGCACGGCAGCCTCATGTACAATTAAAGTTTATGCATTGCCTTTGGATGCGAGTGTGGAAAAACCAATGGAGATCGATGTGCCATCCCTTACGGGACAAGCTGAGCATTTACTTCCCGATTTGATAATAGTGCAATTACAGCCAGTTTTGCAGTTGACATTAGACGTATCTGAAGAACCCGAAATGAGGGCACATCGGCTTGTGAATACGCAATGTACGGCGCTATGTTGGTCGGAGGTGAGCGCATATGCAATAAAAAAAAAAGTTTGTCAATTATTTTTTTTTTGTTACCAGTTTTCCGGGCATAAACACATTTTTGCAGGCTTCGCAAATGGTTGTGCTGGCTATTGGGATATCAGTACGGATGACAATTTGAATCTCCTTGTTATCAATGGTCTGCCAAATTACTTGCCAATGAATTTCTTCTATGCGCGCGAGAAGAATGTGCATGGTATTGCGTTTTCAACTCCAATGTGGAAGTGTTCGTATAAAAATGTATTCTTGTTACAGCAATGGCGTTACATTATGACACCTCAGGCGTGCGTCTGCTTGCGCTCACTGTTGGTAGGCGTATTTTGTCTATCTATGACTTGCACCAGTTTACTCGCCCAATTCTGATGAAAGAAGAAGTAGCAAGAAACGAGGTGATGGACTTGGCGTGGTCCCCACTTTGGCAATCTTTGGCTGTTGCCGTTTCCGATTCCTTGGGCACAAGTGGGTAGCCGAGAAACTACTACATAATACTTATAATTAAGTCTTTTACTCAGTAGGTCAGTGCACGTACGCTGTTAGTCCTACGAATATGAATTTTAAAAATGAAACAATTGATAGAGCGTGTGGTGCAGTTACACAGATTCATTACAATCCCTGGCAGCATATATACGCCTATGCTACCGATAATGGCGATCTAGCGCTGCTGAATATACGCGAAATGCATTTTAAAGAGATTTTGCGAGATTCACTACAAAATACGAGAGCTGCAGCTATAATGGATATGAAATGCTTGAATGGGGAGGATATACCTAAGTTTGATCCGAAATCAGTGTCGGCAGATTGGAAATTTTTCGAAGAGGGATGTGTAGAGAAATATGGGCTTGTGTTTGGGCCGATGACGAAGGTTTGTTGCAGAGCAAATATTTTGAATGTAGAAAATGCTTTACTGAATAATAATTTTTGTTTGTTTCCAAAAACAGATTGATAGAAAACACAAACCGCAATATGTGAGCGCGAAACGTCGACCACCGGTGAATTTGATACGTTGTACGCGCATAAATAGCATGCGTTGCAACTTAAATGTAGGAGGGAAGAAATTGATTGCGCTTGGCTATGAGAATGGTTTGCTGCGCATACTCAACATCGATCGAAAATCTGTTTTCGATTAAAATCGTTTAGGTTTTGGTACCAAGGACGTTGAAGGTGGCAGTAGAGAGTAAAATATGAAACGGATATTGGAGATAAACAAAATGCAGCAATGAAATTAATAAAGTTGTAGTGGTAAATAGGTTTCATGCATGTACATATAAAGATAATATATATAAATTTTTACATAATTTTAAGCTATTTTTAGTAACTTACAGCTGAAAGGTAATTCTTACAGATAATGTAGGAACGTGAAGATTTTTGGGTAGATATATTGACATTACTAGGATAGTATCATATTCATACGTACACACATATGTATATCTGTATATATAAAAATACATAACCCATAAAAATACGAACATGTATGCATATGAAATATATACATAGTACTAATATGCTATTTGATTTATATTGTTGAAAGTAAGATTTTTTTTGTACATAAAATTAGTAATTTATATCCTGAATACTTAATACATTGTAAAATTTAGTTTTTCTATTTACCTTTGCTTTGCTAATGTTTGGTAACGAAAATATTAATGTTAGTACATACTAAATACAAAATAATTAAAAAATTGAAATATGTAAATACATACACAATTTTGAAAATGAAAAATAAAGAATACGAAACAGCTTAATTTCATTTCCCTAATAATGCTTCTCATTACTCAGCAGTAGGCGCTTCAGTCGGCGCCACTTGGGGAGTTTTTTCTTCTGCACTTAGGGGCGGTGTTGCTTCTGTTGATACTTGATCAGAGCCAACTGCTTCACCGCTACCACTTGTTTCTGCTCCGGGTGGTACAGCAGCCTCGTTTGCTGGCGCACCTTCAGTTGTTCCACCACCTTCCACGACTGTCGGTTGCTCGCTCGCTTCAGCTGCGCCACCTTCCAATGCCGACTCATCTTCTGCACTCTCTTCTCGCGCAGTTGGGGGTCGACTTTCGCCACTATCCTCACCGCTTGTAGTAGTGACCGGTTCTGCTGCTTCGCCCTTCGTACGAGACTGCAGTGATGGAAAAGTTTATATTTTAACATTTAGAATTTGGCTTATGCGAATCTAAGCGAAGGCAAGCGCCGCTTGGCCAACTTACCTTCTTCTTTTTCGGTTTTGCTTCTTTTTCTGCTTGTTCAAGTGCCTCTTGCTCAGCGGTCTTGTAGGATTCTGGGAAGAATTTAAGCGCCTCTTCGTACCCAATAACCGCATCCGCACTGACATAGCTTGGACCGTAGGTTGCCAACGAGAGCATTGTGTGTGAGGTTTGCTTGTTAACTTTGAACACAATTTTGTCCGTGCTAGGTGGGGGGAAAAATAGATGTTATCATCCAGCTTTGTACTAGTTGTAACAGCTTTTCACTGTTAAGTGTCATGAAAAACATTCTTTCTTTTCTTAACCTCTTAATTGTAACACACTCTTCCCTCTACCCACAAAATCTACTTACGGATTCTGTGGCATCGTTGCATATTTCGCCGCCGAGTTCGCAATCAATTTCGCTTCGCCCGCTTCGTCATTGCTGAAGAAGCCATAACGCGGCACATCGTCTTTCAAGCGCTCCGCTACGCTCAACAAATCACGTTTCTTATAAGCGTCAAATGCCATTATAATATGTGGCGGCTCTGGTATCGGATCAGGTGGAAGGAAACCCGTTGTTTGTTGGCGGAAAAATACATAAATGAGCGCGGCATGAGTGCGCGCATTGCCCGCCACCCAGATGGGAGGTATCCGTATGACTTTCTTACGGTAGCGTTTCTGGACGACAACTTCAACTACTTGCACTGCTTTCTGCTCTTCCTCGCGCTCTTTATCATCGTCTAAATCAAAATCTAGATCTAACGCATTCATTGGTAAGTCAGGTAAATCTGGTATTTCTGGTCCCTCGTCCGCTTCTCCGACTTCACCAACTTCATCGGCGTTCTCACTGCCTTCTTCGCCTTCGTTATCCTCGCCCTCGGCCGTCTCGGCAGTAGCTGCTTGGGCTGCGGATTCCTCGTTCTTTATATGCAACTTTTTTGGCGCAGGTTCCGGTTCTGGTTCGGGTTCCTCTTCCCATTCTTCACCCTCTGCAAAAAAAACCGAGAGTTCTACTTTTTGTGTTATCCTAGAGCCGAAAACTTACCCTCTAACTCGATTTCGATTGTCAGATCCATAGGCAATAGAACGGGTGGATGCACTATCTCCTCCTCGGTCAGCATGTCCACTTCATGCCGCTCCTTCGTCAGCATGTGCGCGTACGTATTCAAAACTTCCGGTATGGGACGACGATCATCTTCTGGCATTTTCCAAAAGCACATCATCAAATCCTTTTGATCTAATTGGTCAAGTACATCATCGGGCAAGGGATTCGGGCATGCATAGTTCACCACATCAAAGTCGGCGCGAGTAACACTAATGACGCGTCGATCTTTGCACTGCAACTTCATATTGTCCGCCGGTTCGAGTACCTTCTTGTACATATCGCGATTAATATGTGGTCCGAAGATGGTCACACCCATATCGGGCATATTTTCGATTATGGTATCTGTCATGGAGTTCAAATAGTCGTGACGCTTTTTCTTTTTCGCTGCCTTCTCTTTGCTAATCGCCTCCATTTCGGCATCCTGTTTGATTTTGCGACGTATTTCTTCTTCTGGCTGGAGCTCGGTGATCTCGTAGAAGGTGCGTTGTGGTTTGTTGAGCATTTCCAGCTCTTGGGCGATAAGTTTCATAAGTTTCGGCGTGTTGGATCCGAATAGTAGATTTGTAGATTTGCCTTTCTGTACGATGTGATGAGGACAGGAAGTTTCTTTAAATATTTCCGAATGCTAAGAATTCTTTTAGTGGCAATAATAAAAATTTTAGTAGGAAGTTCCAAGCTCAAATTTCTAACTGAGGTCATTCCCGGTTTTAGAGGAGGATGACCCGACTTTCATGATTTTTGACTAGACTTAAATCAAGTGATTTGCTGACGAAGGAAGTTATTCGACCCCTAACTGCCAAGAAAACGTGATTTTTTTCTCCAAACTTTAGTTTTGATGCAGAAATGCATCTAGATCAGACCTGAGCAGCGTCTGCCCGGCGGGCGTCGTCACGTCGTATTCGTGTATACATACACGCTCTGCTTGGGAAGGCAGCGAAAGCTTCGTTCAACTGCACGACTTGTTCGCACGAGCACAGTGTCATCAATTGCACGCACACTACAAAAATGCTCTGCCGAAGCTGCCCACCTCTGATCTAGATGTCTTATCGCAAAATTTTGAAAAAATTTCGCTTATGATTTTTAGGCGCTTGGGGGTCGATATGAATAATACCTGCGTCATTACGTTAAATGGACTCTAATAGCCTATTTCCAAATGGAGTTTTTTAATTGGTACACATTTTTTTGGTAATTATCATTCCAATAGCTGGTGGAAACTCAGCATTACGCTTTTTATTTAAACTTACAGTAACAAACATCCATGTGGGCTCACTTTTCTTGCAGAAACGTTTCAGGTATGAGATCGTATCGGATTTACACTGTTATGAATTTTTTTTATAAATATTTGAATTATTATCGTAATTTTGTATGCAATAATTTTTTTTCTACTCAATACTTACAATAGCAAGCTGCAAATTGTCGCCACCGATTTCCAATTTTATTTTACGTAAACTGCCTACCATGCCGAGGCAGGGACCGCACCATTCCGAGTAGATATCCAACACTACACGCAAAACCAATCACAAAGAAAATAGCAACAAGATTGAAAAATGTTCAGCCTTCAGCCGATAAATTCATACCCAATAAACCGGGCCGCTCGAGGAATTTCTCGAAATCCTCATCGGTTTGTATGTCGGCCTGCAGCTGTTGTACACCTCCTTTCTTTGCCATTTCGCTTTGCTATTATACCATTGATTTCGTTTAGTTTTTAAATTTTTTTTTGTTACAACTGCAAATTTAGTTATTTTGGTCGCGAATCCTAAGCGTTTTTTTTTTTGAGTGTTGGAATTTAAATTTGCGAAAGGAATTTTACAATTTCAACCGTAAACGTATGAATTTAAATGTGGGGCCGGGGTGTTTTTAATTTTCTTTTTTAATTTTGATTTTTTCTTTTTGAGTTAAGCTGCCATTTATAGATTTTGACGTTTTCTTGGACTATTTTCTTCCCTGGCTGGCTTCCTACATAAATTAAAAGTTTATTTTGCGGGTTTTCCTTACCTCTTAGCTATTATCGATTAAATATTTGTGTTGCTAGCCACATATATGTAAAATCGAATGTACCAAATGATTTGAACAGGTGTACATTTCTACATACTACAGTCCACACGTTTATGAGTAATTACTACAATTGTAATAACTTTAAAGTAAGTTTTATTTTAAGCCTAATATATTTATTGTTATGTATTTATGTAAGTACATTAGACTGATTAAAAAAAAAACGAGTTTTCGCAATTTGTGTGCGATGAACAGTGCAAGATTTGACCCATCTAGCTGCTTTTAATTCTGTTATTCGAAAACTATTGAAGATAGATTAATGAAATTTTGCACAAGGTACGTTATAAGATAGGCGAAGCTTTTTACAAAAAATTGTCACGCCACCCTATTATATAACTGCAATTTTTAAAAAGGCAAAAACTGAAGTATTTAACTAACTACAAAGGCTAAAATGCCCAAAATTGATATCTAAAATTTCCCTATAGCAAGGAATTATAAACTGCTTCCGACACAGGATTGTTTTCGTAAAAAATTACGCAAAAAAGTTGTCAATTTCTTACTCGTTCGTTTTTAGGCATGCCATTGTTACGAATTTCGAATATACGATTCGGATTGCAGCATACCATTTCTACGATTCGTAGCAAAATCCGAATACGAGAATGAGTGCGGATGTTTTTGTTGTTGTATTATAGTTTCTGAAGGTGTGCTAAGGGTTCTTCCCAATTTTGCCCGCAAAACAGTTAGTGGGATAAATAATTATCAACTAACACATTTTTGCTAGTTAACCGTTAATTATTTATTAACGAGAACATTGTTTGAAATTTAATTTTGAATTAGTCGGTTTTATGGTCTATAGCAATGGTATGTGCGAAATTTCAGACATTAAGCTCAATATTTGCGGTAAATAGACGATATTTTTGACGAAGATGTATTTCAGGTGCGCGATTTGTTAAAAATTTAAAATCGATTTCTCTAAAATTTTCAGCAATATGTTTTTTCTTGACGCTTTCAAAGATTTTGATGCATCGCACATAAATTTCGAAAAATTTGTTTTTTTTTAATCAATCTATGTACATGCATATAAAAGACGTAGTATACATATATTTTAGAAAGTATAATTCTAAAATAACATACATAGATAGAAGCTTACCAAAGAGTTTCACCAATGACAAGAAAAATGTCTGAATAATTTTATATTCTTCTGTTCCTAAATGCCCCATTTTTATTTAACTATTTTTATCATAGAATCTTAGGAAGAAATATTTTTACCAAAAGTAGAAA